AGAATGCTTACCTCCTCCCCAGGTGGGCTAGTCAAAGTCCCCGTTATCCCACACCCTCGCCAGCCTCGGTATTCACAGCTGGTCGCGTGGCCCTCAAGGGCAATTCCTCGAGTGGACGGGTGCGAAAGGTGATGAGATTGACAACATACTTTAGGTAGGTAGTGTCGGGTCTTCACGGTTGCGCTTACGCTTTTCAAACCTGGCAAAGCGACATGAGCCTTGCATGTCCAGTGAATAGATGCCGAGGTCATTAAAGGACCCTCAGAACTGATTAGTATCCGAGAGAAAATATCCCGTACTGACGGTTCATCACCCGTAGTCTCGTTTCAGCCCTGCCTGTCCACACTTCCCGTACGGATACACACTTACAGCACCTGGAGCCCATCCAGGACCCCTGGCACCAAAGCTTACTTACCACGAACATCCCGTGGTTTTGCAACCCGGAGTCTTGTCCGAAGCCACAGCCGGCGACGAACAGCCCAGCCCTGTCACGTAGGAGAACTCCGCCGCACTTGATTGAGATGCCTGTCTCCTCCGAGTCCATTCCCTCGAAAGAAGCGGGCTTCAAAGAAGGCCTGTTCGGTTGATTATGCTTGTAAAGTGGTCTATCGTCCGTGCTTCGGTCCAAGCAGAGACAGAGAGAGAAAAAAGTACTGCAAAGTTGGAACAAAGTCCCGTCCCTCAATTAGAAACCCGCCTTAATAAGATCGCCCTAACTATGGATGGCACATCCGATCAAACGTCTCATGCTCGCATGCTCCCTTTTTCTATCCCCCTCTCCTTCAACTTTTCTGCCCACTGTTGCACTTACCTCTTTTCTCTACATTAGCTTGTTCGTCAACGTTGTTGGAAAAAAGGTCAAATGATGTCAAAACCCGGGTTCCTCGGATTCGGGTGACCTAGTATTGGGTAAACCAGCAGCACCTAGCGCGTTGCACGCAAGATGCGAGGTGCAGGACTGTCTGGCCCAGCCTCACTGTCGCTCATCGCCGCCCGTGCCAGGATTCCACATCACGACGCGAGGGATTACTTGTTCTCCTTCAGGTTATAGGTAGATTCATACAAAATAGACTTAAAGGGTTCCCGAGTTCCACGGCCCCTCCGAAAGAGGTTTCGAGACCTGTTCGTTTGAGAAGAACTGGGGGGTTCACGGCGCAGATTCCGAGAAAGAAATAAAAAAGAGAGAGGAAGGGGGCCTTGCTCTCAAACCCCTGATCTCTGTCTTCTTCGGTTCCATGACCCCATCTCCCCCCACGCCCCTCCTTCTTAAGTTCTTCCCGTCCTTCGGGGGATCGGTTAGTAGTTCAGATAAACCTCTGTAGGCGAGAACGCGGTCTTGGATAGATCGACTGTGCTAGGATCCTTTTTTCTTTTCCACATACGGACGGGAGGCCCGGGGGTTGTGGAAAGATTTCGTCGGTGCCGCGGGGTGGTTCGTGTTCGTCGCCCCAGGTTTGCTCGTTGGTTTGTTAGGTGTTTTTCTGGACAGACCGGTCTTTAGTCAACATGGTGTAAGCATGAACGGGTGTGATCAGTGCTCGAAATCTAGAAGCACTCGTGAGACGCTGGACCAAGAGGAAAACCAACGGGAGAATCTTTCTCCTTTTTTCGCTTTGCAAGGGATAAAAATCTCTTCATCAACTCTCGTGTGCGATATTTCCCCCCGCTACGTTGGTGGCCTGGTTTGCGTTCCGCAAACATGTTGTCGCGGTGAGTGGCTCACCGGAGTATTCGCACCGGAAAAGCGCATGAATTGAGTGCTTTGCTTGACGGTGGGCTAGATCCGCTCGATGATCTGAGTGTCCTTTTTCCCCTTCATGTTTGAGTGCTCTTGTTACATCTTATCGTCCATCGTGCCGGTAGCCGGTAGACGATGAGGGTTGAGGTTTGATCAATCGTCGAAGAAGCCGGGCCGACTTTTGCGGTGGTTTGGGCTCTTGGTCGTACAAAAGGGTCGACGTAACGGCGAAGCCGTGTTTCGTCTTTTGAGGATGAATGATGAGTTGTAGGAGCGATTTAGGGGGAATGTACCTTGTCGTTATTGATGGACTCTGGATGAGCAATCGTGGCCGGTGACTCTCCGGACCAGTTGTAGTGCGACTGATATGAGGCTCTCGATGCCAGACGAGGTTACAGCTGCCAGCATATGGCCCTTCAGAGGCTATCGTGGCTGCCGTACTTGAAAATGTCTTCTGTTGGCAACGACAATGGATGAGTAGTCGGCTCATGGCCGGCCAGAGCCCTGCTATCCAGGCGTCGATCATCGGTCTCTGGGCAAGATTTCGTGAGGAGGGTGAAGTCTCAAAAAAGGACACAGTTGGCAACCAGAAGTTTCCCTAATTACGATTTGAAGCACCGCTTTAGATTATCGTACCGGAATAATGGGTTATCCTTCCTCCCCCGTCCGCCTCGTCGCCGGAGATTCCACAGAGAAGGCAGGCGTACACAGAAGAAGAGAACGTGGATGTTGAGTAGATGGTAACTGCGCACGTGGCAACGGGTCAGAATCTCGTACGAAGGGAAGATTACCATGGGAGAAATGAACTTTGGCTCAAATCACAACGTCTATTGGCCTTTCTAAGTCCAATGTCTGGCATTATCTTCGGACCACCTCCACAGGTTCGTCTCGGGTTCTCAAGCTTGCTATATTAAGTACAGAACAGATGATCGATACATAGTACTGCTAAAAGCAATGCATAAGCTAGAGCTCACTATTGTTCCTTGCTCCCCGTATAGAATAGGTTGAAAACGCTAAAGATAGCGAAGGGAGTATGGAAATATGCTTTTAGGTGCCAAGAAGTAATAGGCCTCGAAAGCGCGTAGAGTTTAGCAAGTACGAATAAGGGCACTGGAAACGAACTTTCTCTGCCTACGTGGTTCGAGGTCCTAAGTTCCCCGGCTTCAACGAACTGGAAGCATGTGTATTAGCTTGCTGTTACCGAGAAAGACACCTAAGTACTAATCCATGTACGTATTAAAGAGTTCGACGGGCCAAAGGCCACAAAAACAAAGTTTTGAAAGTAGATCTGATCAATTTTATATTATTGTAATCATGGTCTTGAAGCCGAGCTTCAATCGGAGAGCTGTTACTAACAAGGTCGCTCCTTTGTCGAACAACGTCGTTCAAGCAGTAGCGAAACTCTCAAGTTCGGGTGGACAACTACAAAAACTCGTATCATTGCTTTGTGGACAACCCGAAGCTTGTCTGGCAGGAAAGTCCGAAAGGAGAGCGCAACCGCGACTTCTTCGTGGTCTAGATTGATATCTGTTAGCACAGCGAGTATCAAAGGGGCTCGATCGTCATATTTGTCCAGGAATTCTCGTGTAGACCGTTATAACTTGGTGGTGAAAGGTGATATTCAAACAGTTTACATGATTCTCACAGCTCTCGAACGTACTAGGAGGAATACTTCGCATGAGACAGCCACTTTACGAATGTCCGAGTCAGCTACAAGGCGGCGTCTCAGTAACACTTCCTGAACACCTTCACTGCCTTTCTGTTTGCTCTATCAGCTACAAATTCTGTTGATGTTTCCTGGAGTATCAGGACTGCTTGCATGCTCGACGCTAAGCTATGGGCGATTAGCAGCTGCTCACTATCTCGGCATAAGAAATCTACCTCATTACCAGAGAAATGTTACGAGCTAAAATGCCCGCGTTAACAGTCAAACAAATAAACCCAAGGCCTTACTTGATATTCAGGAGATTCTTATGGGTATTCTATCTCGATGGCAACATGCATTCCTTCCTTCTTCTCCTCTTGAAGGTTAAGGATATGGATGTATCTCAATTGTTTTCACGTTGTATGATGACGATACTTGTAGGTAGATTTTATTATCCTAGAATTCTATATGTTATCACAATGAAGTTTATTTCAGTGACGGAAGTCTGAGGTTCCTGTTGGGTCAGGAAGCCGGGGAACCAATTTGATCATCTTGAAGCATGAGAAGAGTGCCTGGCAATCACTGCTCGCGCCAACACCTGCTGCCTGGCACCTTCCAATGTGTACGTCCGTTCTTCCTCGAGGCGTTTGTTCAGGTGACATGCTTACCTACCTTAGTTAAGGGGTCTAGTCACCGTTCCTGTCACCTGCACAGCAGCGCCCGTCCAAGTCGGCGAGGTGAGGCCAAGCTGTGTGCGAGGTAGTTGAGTGGTTAAATAAACACGCTGTTCGAATCTGGGCAGGGACGTGAATTACAAGGTCAGTTATCACCATTCCTTCCCTCTTTCCTTTTTATCGGTCTGTGATGTTTTGCTTGGATATTGACTGGCATCCCCTCAATGAGCATTGCCGTGTGACGGTGGCGGTGAGCTTTTGCATACACCTGGAGGCAACTTTGACCGTTGGCGAAATAGGCATCGCGTAACTTGAGGCTCGCAGCGTCGCTCCTTCTCATTCTCCTCATGTAGAACTCAACGGTCGGCGGCAGGCTTGTGGTTGAAGACCTGAAGTTCAGTTTCTGTTCATGAGATTCAGAACATCACGCGCTAATCAAGTACCGTGAACGCGCACTGATAGGATCAATGCCTTCGGTCTTTCGCATATTGACTTCTGTGGATGGCCACATTTGGCAAAAAGGAACAAGAGGGGACGTTTCTGGCCGAACGATCTGACAGGGATTCGTACATTCAAGTAAATTGAAGGACTCTAGGATAGCTAAATAAAACACGACGAGTATGGTTGTTATTCTCAACTGGTAGGTCATAAACCCCTCTTGTCTCTTTGGTAATTCAGCTGGGCACACTGGAGAGCCTGAACTCGAATAGATCCAAGTGACGAATGTGAGAGCGTCTTATTTACGAGATCAAAAGGGGGAAATGCCGAGCATAGGTTGAGTGCTCATCAAGTGCCTCGAGTCTCAAAATCAATGACAGCGGCCATTCGTGATAGGCTATTGGCAAAATTCTAGTCCTAGAGGAAGCAAGCTATCATTGGATTTGATACCGTAAGTAAAACGAGGTGACGATACCAAACGGTGGGTGTATATGATGCTCAATGACGGTAGGGAAAGTGAAAACATTCAAATGCATCTGTGTCGAACGTATCTTAGATATTTAATTACTGCAAGTTCATCTGTGGCCACGGATATCAGACTACAATGAGTCAACATCCATTAAGGGGACCCCGAGTTCCAGTGTCTAGAGAATACCCGAGTCCGGCAAGTGACACGAACTCAGACTTCCGGCACAATAGCAGCCGACTTCACTTTCCGGTCGACGGAATCGCGAGCGATCGAATCCGCTGCGTCCCTATCATGCGCCTCGGCGGCCTCAATAACAGTGGCTCTGAACTGCTCTCTCTTGGGCCTACATGAGTCGTAAGAAGCTGTCTTGGGTATCGAATAGGTGAATGAACATACTCTAGATGCTTTGCATCAATGTAACGAAGCACACATGTCATGATAACGACGAGAACACCGATGGCAATAGCTGACTGCCATGCGTACTTGTCTGTTTGGGGTCAGAGCCATGATCGTTGTGCGTTTGGGCTGATGAGAAAAACTTACAGTACGGTGCCTGAGTGGCCGGCCATACCAGAACCTGCGACCAGGCAGAGATGGCGTAGTATCCCGCGATGGCAACTCCGACGATGAGAGTCCGCGCCTCGGGGTCATGGGGTAGAATGTCGGCCAGCCATGCGAAGATGAGAGGCGCGGTGCCCATTGCCGTGAAGAGGATGAAGTTGGACGCGTAGGCCGTGGCGAGCGGTGTCGTAGTAGGGTGTGAGGACCAGACGCTCATCGCGATACAGCATGCAATGCCAATCACAGCTGTGTAAGTTGTCAGACTGGATTTGTCCCAGTGGAGGGGGCTGTGAGGTGATATTTACCCTGAACAACGATGAGAGTCCATCGTGTCATGAACAAGTCCGACAAGATTGCCCAGACCCAGACTGTAACTCATATCATTATTGGCTCTTCTCTCGGATTCCAAAGGATTTCACACATACCGAACACCACGTTGATCGCACTTCCACCAATGGGAATGGCGTTAACCTCGGACGTCGACCACCTGGGTGTCCCATCCGGATTCTTCAGAGCCTTCAGGAACAGGCCGAAGTAGTTGTTGCCATACGACAAGAGGACAGTTGCAATGTACAGGACGGGTACGAAGTAGATTACCCAACTCTTGAATGCACGCCTGTTCCCAGTCAGCTCTCTGTCACCGGTAGAAAAGATGGATCGGGGGATCATCGAACCTGGCAGCGGCCCATGTCATCTTCTTGGGCTCTGCTTTACCATGGCGCTCCAACCGCTCCATAGCAAGCTCGGCGTGTCCCTTCTTGAACCAGAACGCGCGGGGGTTGGGGTTGTTAGGTGTGTCGGGAAGAAGGAAGAAGCCCGCAGCGCCGACGCACACAGTCATGATGGCATTCACAACGAAAAGCCAGCGCCAGCCGGCCATGCCGTGTAGCCCATGCATGGAGCTCCTAATGGCAACTTGCAGCGCGCCCGACATCATGGAGCCCACCGCCTGACACGAGTGGTAGAATCCCATTCGCTTGGCCAACTCGGACGGGGTGTACCAGTGCATCAGCAGCGTCATCATGCCGGGCCAGGCACTGCTCTCGCAGAGACCGAGTAGGACGCGGAGTGCGTAGACTTGTTGCGCGTTCTTGGTGAGGGCGATCATGCCTGTGATGATACCCCATAGAACCTCGAGGCCAGAGAGCCAGTAGCTCGGTCGTACGTAGGTTAGTATGATTTGAGAGGGGATGAGCATGATGCAGTAGGCGACGTTGAAGTACGTTGTGAAGCTGAGATGAGAGGTCGGTTGGCATTGAGAGTCCTGAACTGTAGCTCTTGGGGGTTGGACTTACTAGTTGAGCTCGTTGCCGTAGAGGTTGAGGTCTTCTTTCATGCCAGAGACGTATGCGTTGCTGATGTTCGTCTGATCAAGGTCTTGATACCAGCGTCAACCAGACCGCCCCTTACCCTCGGATTCGGGTTGTTCTGTCACTTACATTTGATGACTAGAAAGTTGAGTTAGCTCAGGTCTCACAAACGAAGGATCTTCGTAACTATTCACCCTGCGAAATGCAACCAAAAGTCATCAAGAATATGTCCAGTCTCCTGACCAGCTTCCTCTCCTCTGCCGTTCGCTCATGGCGCGCCGCGAAGGCAAGGCTGCCGAAAATCATGTTGTCGATTGGCTGTTCGAAAATTCCAATGACTTTGAACGGAGGGCATCACAAGGAAGAACACCGCTGCATGATGGCAGGCGCAATGTGCTCCCGCCAGGTCTATATAAGGCGTGGATCGTCACATCTCTCTCTGCTCTACCCAACGGGACGCGTTTTCCAGATAAGACAAGGAAGGTTTCCCGGCACTATATTACCCCATGTTTTGTGAAAACTGTCTATCTCACGGCCTACCCCCCGACCCCGGCTCAAGTTGCAGAAGTTCCGTTATCACCTGATAGGCAGACGTTGCAGTGTTGCTGGGACCTGGAGATAGGTTCGGGAAAGAGGGGGAGGGATGCCGGTGCTCAAACGCGGGCCGAACTCTTATTGGAGCGGCCTTGGCCGCCCGATGAGCGGCGGGTCCTCCGACGACCGCAGATACCCCGGGGCTGGTAAGCTGATAAGCAGTCGTCCAGTCTTGCCTCTTGTTACCTAAATTGCTTCTCTCGACTTCCTGCTGATTGTACTTTGCCGGTTCGCGGCAGGCAAGTGCCTTCGAGAGAGACGAACACCCAATGTGACGACGTATGTAGTCGTTTAATATGTGCCATGATCGGTCTTCAGGTTTTCCATGCCCTTGTCACAAAGTAGATCGGACCACTGTGATTGTATCACAAAAGAGTAATCTGTTCGCATCTACATGCAGTAGCCGATGCATCGAGTTGCCATATTCGGTTTGAGACATGAAGTGGTTTGAGAGGTTGTGGTCCCATCGGTGCGGGAGCGGAGCGATGTTCGCCGCCAGAGGATCGGAAGGGCCTCCGACTTCGTCCCCACCTGTACGTACCCGACAAATGACTACAAACAACACACCTCTCAGATTTGAGCAAAGGTTGAATCACGGCTATCGCCCGGCTTATCTCACCCAAGGCGATCGACTCGCGGACATTTCCTACCGGATTTACAAAGCCGAAGGCAGGTTCGAAAGAGAGTGTCTAAGCAGCAGTGGAGGCTGCCCGCTCACGATGAACTCATCTTAATAAGGCAAGGTGTTGCATACGCGGGGATCGATGTATGCTCGACAAACCCAAGTCAACCACAGTTGTTTACCCTAAAGAGTCAACTCATGATGACTGGCCTTCCCGTTACCAATGCGTGCATATCATTCTGGCAACAGACCACTAGGTCATATCCTTACCTTAATTACAACGATGAAGCTCTCGTACCGAGAACCGCGAAATACGTCATTGTCGGCTCAGGAATCTCCGGCGCACTCACAGCCTTTAAGTTGGTCGAGGGTGGTGTAACAGGATCAGACATCGTCATCCTGGAAGCAAGGGAAGCAGCCGGCGGTGCCAGCTCTCGCAATGCAGGACATATTCGACCAGACGCCTTTCGCGGGTTCACAGTCTATAAATCACTCCACGGCGAGGAGCAGGCCCTGAAGATCATCGCCAATGAGAGGACCGTGTTTCTTGCAGTCGACAACTTCGTAAAGAAGCACAACGTGCCGTTCGATTTTGTCCCGACGACCACCTTTGACGTTTGCCTGACTCAGGAATTTGCAGATCACAATGCCAAGAGCTTCGAGGCATACCAGAGTGCTGGCGGCGACGTTTCTCACATCAAGTTTTACCCTGCCGCGGAAGCTCGAGAAAAAACAGGCGTCCCGCAAGCTCTATGCGCCTACGAATGGCCGGCAGGTTCTGGTCATCCTGCCAAACTGGCCCAATGGCTCCTGACCCAATGTATTGGCAAAGGCGTGCAGTTCCTGACCCATTGCCCAGCAATCTCGGTGACACCATCATCATCTGGCGCAGAGCAGATTCTCTGGGATGTCAATACGCCACGAGGTACTGTCACGACGCCAACAGTCATTCACTGCACCAACGCCTTCGCACCGCACTTGCTGCCGCAGCTATCTTCCCTCGTCACACCAGAGCGCGCGCAGGCCCATGCTTTCGTACCACCTGCGGCTCTCACCGGCAGCAAGGTGCTGCAGAGCACCATCTCCCTGCGGAGGGGCCTGCGTTGGTTCTACTCGGTTAATCAACGCCATTCAGACGGCATCATCATCCTCGGATCCGCCTCGGCAAGCCCCAAAGTCAGTCAAGCGGCGTATGCGGAAAGACAGACGGCCGACGACAGCGAGTTCAGCGCGGAAATTCGCGATGATGCCGTTGCCAACTTCCAAGACTGTCTACCAGAGTGTAGGCCAGAGAAGTTGCGCCACGGTGAGGGGCTCCAGCACACATGGACAGGTATCATTGGCATGACGCCCGACATGGTGCCCTTTATCGGGAGGGTTGATGGCTCCCCCGGACAATGGGTTTGTGCCGGCTTCAATGGACATGGTGAGTGCTCAATCGTTCCTGTAAAGTGCCCATTTGCTGATTTTATGGTTCCATAGGGATGGCGAGAATCTTTACGTGTGCGTCGGGCCTTGCAAAGATGATACTAGGTGGAACATGGCGGGATACCGAGTTACCAGAGTGTTTTGAGATGACTTCGGAGAGACTTGGCAGATTGAGAGAACAACAGCGAGAGCAAGCGTCCAAGATTCGAGAATAGCAGGATAAGGTATGTAGAGAAGAGCCAATCTTAGTAGGGGCAATCAGAGACGTGACGCCAAGACAGCGAAAATTCTCTGAAGAAGGTTCAAAGAATCTCAACTACCTTACTTTCGGCTTATATGTTCGTGCTTGAGAAAGTTGAGGCGGGCACGGCGGGGTCCTATGAAGCAATGTGCACGGACCAGACGTGTGATGCGGGCGGTGTGACCGCGCATTTGCATGTACCACGGCAGAATACCAGAATTTTGGTTCTTTCCAACTTTTGCCCACCATAGCCCAACCTGATTTCATCATACTACTCTTGACTCGCGACACAGCCCAGAAGCACGTTCTTTGGACTCTAACACTCGTTGAACAATTAGAATTGTCACATTATATCCATTTGTATCCCAACTGATCTTAGCAAACTCCCAGTCAGATTGCCATAATGCCGCCGAGCACCAACATGGTCCCCGAAACACCTCCGGGTAGAGGTATCTCCTCTCGTCTGTTGACGATGAAGTTCATGCAGAGAGCTGCTGCCTCGGACGCTACACCGGAACCCTCTCCCGAAGAGCCCTCATCTAAGCGGCGCAAGTTCCAAAATTCGCCCCTCACCGGCGACTTTCACTCCTTCGATCAAACAGCCGTTCAGGCGGCTCTCAAGCAACAAGAAGCTAAGCGCTTGTCGGCATTGGAGGCGTCTAGAGCAGAGCTTGCAGACACGCACTGGGTTCTTGATGGTGCTTGGGGCAAGTCTACCGAGACAGGGAATGCGCCGCCAAACATTGTCTATGTAGGATACGCGGATATCGATGTTGCCGATGGAGAGGAGGAAGTCGCAGCCACTGCTACTGCACAGGTTGGGAGGATGAAAATTGAAAGCAACAAAAAGAAGGCTACCAAGGTAATGCCAAAACCATGGGTCTTGCAATAACCTAGCTGACTCATGCCAGAATGCCAAGAAGGAGACACCCAAAAAGACGAAGCCCGAGTCGAGCGACTCCGATGGCTCTAGCGATTCCGACGACTCCAGTGAAGGATCCAGTGACGAAGATGAAGCCTCCTCCTCAAGCGACGAAGAGGCTTCGATGAAGACACCTCCGAAAGCCGTGAAAGGCCTCGCGTCTGGCGGCCAGGGGCGCACAAGGGTCAATCTCCAGGCGAAGAAATCAAGCGAGTCTATGAAGGCCAAGGAATTCCGGGAGAAGAGAATGAAGAAGGAAGTCAAACTAAATAAGCTGGCATCTATCTCCGGCGGTGCTACAGGCAGCCTCTCCGGAGCAGGCAAACCTAACGCGCCCTTCAACTGCCACAACTGCAACAAGCCGGGGCACAGGGCCGCAGACTGCCCACAGCGACGAGGAGGCAAGCGGAAGTCGTCTGATAGATCACGATGAACCTCTGTCTTACCAAGCGTGCTTTTTTATTTTCAAGATACCCCTCATGCCTGGATTTGGCTTGCTTACCGGTTCTTCCATTCCCGCTTTGCGAAATGGGAGCAAGATTTTTGTCTACCCTACAGCGGGCTCTCGCCTGGCGAGAGATCACAGAGGAAATGGGTTATGGGATTGACGGAAGAATCCTGCTGAGCGGACATTCGATCAATGCAACACGTAGATACGCACTGCCTCCTGCGCCGGGCTAGGAAAGCCCGACATGGACCGGCAATCTTAATGGAAAGAAATGACCACCAACCCCATCTCCTGTGTTGTCGCGCATGCAACATGGCCGAACAATGGCCTTGGTGCCAACGAACTAACTCGGTCTTTTGAACTACACGTCTTGAGCTGATCAACTTGAATGATAGACGGCATGAGCTGTCTACTGAGCCAGGTACCAGGCTAGACACAGCTGCCTTACCGTCTGCACATATACTGACAAGAAATCAAGGTTCGCGGAACAGGCGCGTTTGTCCGGCTTGGAACACAATCTGCCCCCTTCGTCAATCGTTTCTTTAGGGATGGCAGCCGGGCAAAACAACCACAACTGCCGATGATGAGACTAACAGAAACCCTGTCGACACGGTTTCCCTACATCTCGATGGGAATCTAATGCATCGGCCGACCTTTCGTTTCTTAGCCTCCTCGGACACGGGAAAGAAGCCCGCATGTGAGATGTCGATCTCCTGCGTGGTTCAAAGCGGCTCGCTCAAAACGGCACTACGGGAACTCTGGGGGTTACCAGCCGGCGCCCCGGGACATTCGAACTTTGGATGGTGGGGTGACATGCTTTCGTCCCCAAAAACTCTCTATCTCTTCTATACAGAATCTCATGTGCTAAGGGATCGTGGAATCATGTTAGGTATCCTCGCATAAGCAAGCTTACATCTGCTGTGTAGGGTACTGCAAGGATATGCCGCTGGCGACCCAGTCATAGCTGCGACTCTCCTTAAGTGTCATTACGGACACGCTGGTTGTCGCAAAAAGTCAACGCTTGAGTGCCCAGGAGCCATTTTCGTAACATTGGTGTCGAATGGTAATCCCCATCGCAAAGTATGGAAAACGCCATCGCTGCATACATCTACTTGATGCTTAACCAATGCAAATGATCTTGATCGGCAAATCGGCTCGATGGTCAAGTGCCACTGAAACGGCGGGAAACATTAGTACAGGTTGCAATCCAAGTTGCAGTTAACGACTGTTATCATAGCCAGGGTTAGAAACTTGGTCTCTATAGGGATGCCACTTAGAGGGACAACGGCGAGAGGAGGGAGGTTCCTTTTGGCCCAGTGCAGAACTCCCGGACGGAGTCGCTTGTCAACCAACCACTTTGCTTCCAGCACCGGCTGCAGCTCTCCGTATCTTGAATTACGAACCTCGAACCGGCTCTGCTCGAGGTTCCTCAAATTCGTTCGTACCTGTTCACCTTTGCGAAACCAAGTTCGGGTTGCGATCGTCATGACAAGCCGGGCTTATAGGGCGAGAAGAGGATGGTAGTTTAACATCCCCGCAAGGTACCTACCTAGGTCCGAATGTATGGAATATCGTCAGACTTGGACAAGGGACGGCCGTATCTTCCTATTGTGGATAGCGCAGCCGCACGCTTGCTTGGGAACTAGGCGACCGGGCCTCATTATTTTCGCAGTGAAGAGGGGTTGAGAAGGAGTCAACATCAGACGTGAGGAGAGGAGCAAAAGGTAGCATGGTCCAACAGCGGTCAGTTATGAACGGGCGGCGGTCTGGAAGATGGACAAGCCAGGTCGTGCTCATTGCGGGTTCAACAAATACTCAAAGTGGGCGCCCGGGAAGACGGAATGACTCGCCGATCCAGAACGACGGACCAGAACATGCACTCACGCACCTGAGTATTCGTACCAAGAAACAATAGACGGCTTGGTCGAATCGACTGCCCTCGGAGTTTCGTCCGACGCCCGCCAGTTCGCTCAGCTCGCCTTTCCTGTCATCCGGAGAAATGCAACGAATCGGTTATGGAATCGGGGGATCTCAAAGTCATTGGCGCCCATAAGGTTTCATGGTCAGCACAGCTGTGGAAGACTCACTCGCGGAAGCGAGGGCGGGGCCATGGTTACATGGTCTGTTTCTGTTAGCGGACACTGATCATGGATGGTATGCAGTTTCGACTTCTGTGGATTTCTGAACACAGCTTGTTTGGATTTTGGCCACACGCGGGCGTCGCCGTGCCACCCGCGGATCGCTTGCTCGAGGCACCAGGAAGATTATTGAACCTGCACAGTACGAATACTTACAACTTCTGTTTTGACGATCCCATATATAAGTGTCGGTATCAACACGGAATGTGGGTTGCGCGATCAGGATACCCGTAAAGTTCAGATTCCTCACAAAGATGCAGGTGATGAGGCTGCAGGATCGATACAAGATCAACAATTCACGCCATGGCTGCTGTCTGTCCAAACCAGCTAGAACGACTGTAGGTATGTCGAGAAATCCAGTCGGCCATGCATGGCAGCGACATGGCATCCCGCCAGGCGGATCGAACCCGAATCGCCGCCCACAGTTTGGGGCTGCATAGCTAATGCTCACTAATCTGTCTAGGCTTACATGGCACACGTGTGCTGGTGTCTGTTTCTCCAGTCGAGATGTGAGTGATTGTGGATTGTCATACCAATAGATCCAGGCGATCGCCTCTTATGTATCCTATGAAGCATGTGAGCAAGATAGTGTGGCAGACTAGGTTCGTCCAATGCGAACAGCAGCACCACACCACCACGATGGCTCCATCCATGCACAATGTCCGCAGGATACTGGTATGGCCTCCTACGGTGGGCCCTTGCCTGGTGTGGGCGATTGAGTTGACGAGGAATATTACGGTGGCCTAGGTGGTGCTGACAGCAGTATTACACGATACTGGCTTGAGTACCTACTCCCAACAAACAGTCATGGCGCTCCGAGTCTGGAGCTTCATGGGTATGGAACATGGGATCTTGAACCATGACTGTAAGTTGCCGACGACCCCTCTTTCACTCGGGTCTGTATCCAAATTGCACCCCTGATAGAAGGACGAGTCGACTAGCTGAACTGACTATTTTGCAGGTTGCTTACAACTCGCGCAGTTTTGGTTGTCTCGACGTTACTCAGGCTCTATTACTTTCAAGTTGACATCACCGTGAGCCAACCAAGTCTGAGCTTTTCAAGGTGTTTAGCAATACTCCGAACGGTGATGACGGTCCTAGGAACCCAAAAAACGCAACCAGATTGCCGGGAAAGACGCAAGACAAGGGGGGGTTGTATGTTTTCTCCCCGAACGGCGAAACATTCGCATGCCCACACCCCCTGTCCGCCTGTCTCGCCAGTTTTTCTTCTTCGGCGATTGACACCCGAAAACTGCTACATCCGACTACGGGCACAGGGGCTCTGTCTCCCTTGTCACCGCCTTGCCCTTGATCTTTGCTCATCAGCCAACAAACCCAACTGGGGCTGACGGGATCTAACAGGGGGGGAGGGAGAACCTCAGAAACATGGACCATGGTCCCTTTTGCGAGGCTTTCGAGGAGTACTCCGTAGCCCGGCCGGAGAATCCGTACCGCCAATATCGCCACGTATTCTTGCATTTGAGCATCGACTTTCCCATCCCGCGCAACGGTCGACATCCGAATGGCACCTTGGCCGAGGAGGGTGGGATCGAGAACAAGAAAAAACAAAATCGACCGCAGGGCGAGAACAGATTGTCAGGGGAAATTGCCAGAGACAGCGGGCCAGCCCGAGTTCACCATCCGCGCCCATTGCTTCTTCTGCAGA